CATCCATCCATCCATCCATCCATCCATCCATCCATCCATCCATCCATCTATTCATCCATGCATCTATTTATCCATATATCCATCCATTTATTCATACATACATACATTGTCTGTATCCTGCTGTCAAATAATGAGCAGCAGGGTACATACTGACCATGTCACCATTCCTCAGTTTATTGCACTTACCATGCTCCCCCAATTTTTGTCAAAATCTAAATAAATTTATGTACAGTATTTAAAACAACTTTTGAATACTCTCAAGTTGTATTAAGGAGAGTGTCAATAAACTTTTATATTAATTCACTTCTAAAATGTGCAACCTGCTGCCTGCAGGGCTGATTTAGCTGATTCTCCTTTGGGTCTTTGAGGAGTAACAAGCAGTTCTTGAATGTCCCCCATCACTGAGGGATTTGAATAGTGAATGTCTGTAGTTTTGGAGATGAGTGTTTTTTGGGGTCTGGAGTTGAACAGGGAATGAGATTAAACCTTAATGTTTTTGGTGCAAGATATTCAAGTGGGTAAGAGTTACATTGTACAGAAGAACAGATGGAGTTTTTATTAGTTTACCAGTAGTTAAAAAAAAAAAAAGAAATTAAGCATTTAGTTGCTTCAGGTTTTGCACATCTCATTTGCAGTTCTTAGTGTGTTTGCAGATAAATTATAGCAGGAGATAAGAGCAGCATTGTCTCTGTCAATATTCCTCCTCTGCAGAAGAAGCCCCAGTCATTCATCACGTCTCACTGATGTCTCTGCTCTGAGCTCTACGAAGGAGGCAGGAGAGAGACGTTGCGTCAAAATTTCATTGTGGTCACGTATGGAGCAGACAGAAAATGACAGTTTGCTCAGGCGTGTGAATGAAGATATTGTATTCACTGCTGAGACTGATTGGCATAGTTGGCTGAAAAAAAAAAATCTTTATTTCTAAGTGTTTTATTATATCAGTCTGAGAAGTTGTATTTTATTGGCAGTTAGTGGAGTTAGGTGCCTAATAACTTTTTCTTATTCAGTGGTCAGCTGAATATGTAGAATGTCTAAACCTAACTAATCATAAAATCTCATTAGAAGAGTGCATTATTGCCAAACATCCCCTTAAACCCACATTTGTTGTCCCCGTCGCACAGCGAAAAGGGAGAATTTAAAAAATTTTTTAAAAACCTGATAGTCGATATAATTGCTCCCTCCGCTTGCCAGGATCTATCACTCTGCGCCGCCTCAGACAAGAAAAAACTAAACTAAAACTCCCTCAGATCTCCACGGTGTAACTCCTACCTACTTGAGTATCTTGCAGCAAAACGTTAAAGTGGACTTTCATTCCTTGTTCAGTTCCAGTCCAGACAAACACTCATCTTGACAATTAGAAAACATTCACTATTCAAATCCTTTAACAACGGGACGTTGGCGTACTGCTTGTTTATTAAGGAAGCATTAAAGATCAAATTCAACTCCTGTGCATTTCTTGTAAAGGACACGGTCTGTCAGTTTTAAAGAAAAGTAGATTGAACATTTAAGTGCCCCTCTCCCTCTCTGCTGTGCTTTCGCTCTGCTCCCAAAGTCTGTCTGTACGCTTCATGGATGTCTGCACGAGTAACCATAGCAACTGTGAAGGTGACAATGATTAACAATGTTGGGGAAAATATGCATCTGTGATATTCTTGAATATTGACAAATTAATTTCCCTCAGGACGAAAAAAGTATTTATATATTCAACGTATTGCTTTGACAATAGTTGTGATAAACAACGTTTTGCTCACTCATTTCTTGTTCTTCCTGTTTATCACTATGATCAAATCATTCTCCATGTGAATTACATCTGTTGTGGGCATTTAGGGGGTCCGTGTGGCTCCTGATTATGTTACTGCTGTGCAGTTTGTGTCTGCAGTTTGATACAATTCTCTCTAATATTGCTATTAATACAGATTTTACAGCCCTAATTATTGCAAAAATCTGGCTCTGAGATGCTGCTTTTGTCAAAGCAAAGCAATTTTTTTAAGATCATATCAAAAATCTTCAGTTGATTCAGAGAAAACTCATACATTTGCTGAAGAGGCAGAGTTTGGAAGTTCTGCTAGTTTCTCATATGTCCTCGTTAGATGTTTCTGCTACATAATGTTCTTTTAAAGGCAGATGAGACTTTTTGCTTTAAGTAAAAGTGTTACATACCAAAAAGAAAAGAAATCTTGCAGGAAGCAACAAACCTCAAAGGAGTGGCATGCCACAGTAAACAAGAACATTAATGATGGTCCCACCCTGCTGGTCGGACTTTTAAAAACTTTTGTTTCCATGTTAATAAAAAGTATTTTAAGTATTTCCCCCCCAAAGTTAATAAAGTGTTTGATGCATTTTTGTCTTAGCTTCTTCAAATTGTTACAAGTGTATTCCAATTGTCCATCCATCCTTTATCTTTGCCCACTTCTTCCTTTTCGCGTTGCGGGGGTCACTGTTGCCCATATCCATCAATCACTATGCGAGAGGTGGGGGACACCTTGGACAGGTCTCCAGTCCATCACAGGGACACATAGAGACAAACGAGACAAACAAACATTCACACCTAGGGGCAATTTAGAGTTTCCAATCAGTCTAACATGCATGTTTCTGGTCTGTGGGAGGAAACTGGAGTACCTGGAGAAAACCCACACATGCACGGAGAGAACATGCAAACTCCACCCAGAAAGGCCAGGATTTGAACCAGTGACTTTCTTGCTGAGATGCAACAGCTCTACCAACTGAGCCATCGTGCCGCCATCAGGGTTTGAACCAGGGACCTTCAGATCTTGAGTCTGATGCTCTCCCAACTGAGTTATTTCGGCCTATATTCTAATTTATACACGCACACACACTTTTTTTTTTTTTCCAGCAAACTTCTGCACTTAGGAAAAAACTCAGCAAATACAGAAAAATATAAAATATATATAATACAGACAATATAGTGACAATGTATCTTGTCAGTAACTAAATGTTATGTAAAATTTTTCTAAACTAGGAAAATAAAAAAAACGCGTTTCTGCCTGTTTTTGTTTGCACAGCTTGTAAAACTGTTCTCTTGGCCGTGCACATCATTTCATGTCCACCTCGATTACACGTTACCCTGAAAACACGATCTATTGTCACTAATCAGAGATCCCTTTAATAATTATAGAAATATTACTGTTGGCGTCTAAAAAAAGTCTAAACATTTTGTTTTGAGTAGAATAATGAAAACGGGGCTCTCTCACTGGGGATCAAACTCGACTACCAGGAGACACAGGCAGTGACGCTCACCATTGCACTACAGGAAAGTTTCATGCTACCTCCACCACTTAGTTTTCAGATATGGTTCCCTTGTGTGAGGGATGTAATGGACCGGAGCTAATTTTTGAAAGGCAGTCTTCACTTAGCTCTTTACTTAGATTCCTTGTGAAGAACAGAGCAGAGAAAGTGCTTTTTATGAGGAGTTTCAGTTACTAAGACTTCTTCAGATGAAACGTTATCTTTCCCAGCCGTGCGTGAGCGATGTTTCATCTGCCTTTCCTCCCGCAGGAACTCTGTCGGCAGCGGATGGCCGTCAAACCTCCCTCCGAGCGTCCAGAGGCCATCTCCTCCAGGATCAACAGCGTCTCGTCTCAGTTCAGCGACGGCGGTCCGGCCATCAGCCCCTCGGCCCGCAGCAGCATCTCGTCATGGAGTGAAGAACCTGCCCACTCAAACATGGACATCTCAACTGGTCACATGATACTGGTGAGTTCAGAAATGCACCGTTACACATCCACTAACCCTAACCCTGCACCACTAATTAAGATAATGTACCACATATTTGTTGTTTTATTCTTCAGTATCCAGCCCAGCAGAGCAGATGTTTCTGTATGATATGGTTTATTATTATTATTATTTAGCTGCTGTGAAAATATTGAAAAAGAAATCTTGTCTAGCGTGGTTTGCTCATCATTTATTATTTATTTTGGGTCAAAAGTTAACAAATTCTGTATTTGACTTCCTTTAAGGAAAATTTTGGGAGAAAAAATGACAAATATCTAACTTGATTAAAGACCTTAAATTAATTGAAAAACCAAAAAAATTATAAATAACTAAAAAAAATAAGCTACCACCTTTTTAGGGCAAAGGGTCAAATCTTTAAAAAATCTTTATGCAGCATCACTTTGAAGCTTGTGAGATTTCAGACCATCTGTAGATGCTCAGACTGTATTTGGAATGACTCTCAGCTACTACCACACCAAATCTCATTTCAGTATCTGTTAAAATGACTGTGTTGTAGCCGTTTTTGGCTGTGGCAGCCATCTTGGATTGGCTCTATTATTTAATCAGCTGTAGACGCATTCAATGGTTTATTGGATATTTTGTTAACAAAGAAACAAGTATGCAAAGGCAGTTACACTGTTGTCCACCATCGTTTGGTTGAAAACAAAATAAATGGGCCGAATTAAGTCAAATATCATGGAAAGAACCATGAAACAAGAAAAATACAACTACATTGTTTCAGGGAAAATAAAAATAAAAATACACAGCCAGATTTGAGGTATCATCATGAACTGTGGCTGTAACTAAATACGATTAATCTTTGTTTTAAATTAATACAAATAGTCAACAATATGAATTATAGAAGTCAACATTAAGTCATATGGTTCATTTGGACAGGTCTGTGTTGGAGACCTCCGTCTGAATCTTTACAAAAGAAAAGTTTACTTTGTTTTCCCTCTTTGTATGAACTTATGACATCACTAAAAGTTTTTACTGTTTTATTTGATTTATTGTCGGCTACAGATGAAGCACAGTTTTAACAGTGAAAAAACAACTTTACCTTCCTGCACAGATGAATTCTATCTCACGACTAGAGCGATAGCGGATACCTCTGAGTTGGACTGAACCATCTCAAAGTTTAAGGAGGGGGGTAAAGAAAGTAGCAATTTTTTAATATCTTTTTTTTTTTGTTTGCATCTAAGTAAATAACATTAAAATAATTAAACACTGTCTGCTTTTGTCCTATCGCTGGATGCGATAACATGTACATTTTAAATTGAAAAAAATGGGTAACAACATAATTTTGCACCCCCACTTTAGAAAATGGAAGGAACAGCTGCTCCACTTGCTCCATTGATAAGGTGCCTATGGAAATAAAATAGCAATAAGGGAAATATGAATCCAGTCAGGCTACAAATAAACTTAAAAATATAATTAAAGTTAAACTCTGCACCAAAAACAAACTGACACTCTGTAATTAAAAGACAGAGAAAATTGACTCAAAATGACAAATATTTAGTTAACCCAAGTTTTCTTTCATATTAATTGTAATAGATGAAGACCTTTGTTGTGAAACAGTGATCAGGGGTGATTTGGATAAACACTAAACTCATTTCCTGACCAAATGTTGTGATTTAGTCATATTACTTTACAGAATCAGCTGCTCTTAAAAGGAATTACTGACACGTTGCTATTAACACTGAAGGAAATGCTTCATTTTTATGAGTGGATTTGACTCTTTTGTTTTTAGATTTGAATTTTCATTAAGCACATGTGTGAGACGGCTTCCTCTGCCTCCCTTATCTTCCTGTCTGTCATCTCATTACTCACCCTTAAACCCTTTAAAGCAGCAGCTCTGTTCTGGCCTCGTCTCTGATACGTTTGTGTCTTCGTCTTGCCGTATCCAGATTGTTTCCCTCGTGCACAAGCGCACCTCTCTTGTTCCTCTCATCTCGCTGCGTCTCTGGTGTCTCTGCGTGTCTTTGTGTTCCTGTACATCTCATTACACCCACGGTTTCTATAAGCAGCCTGCTCGCCCTCGTCTACCCCGCACATGAAAATCTCTATTGAACTTCGGTTGCATTCTGTCGAGTGCCATCGTATTTTCGATATACAGCTACTCGCTTCAGTGACCCACGCGCACCTCTTCATCCTACCCCCCTCCATCTCTCACTCTCTGTGCATTATGAAGCTGCCGGCGAGATGCGATAAAACGGGCTTTTTGATGTGTTCAATAGGCACAAAGACACTAATTACCCCTGAGAGTTGCACCACAGTTGTATACGATTGAAATGACTCCCTTTGCAGCCCTGTGCAGCTGCAATGAGTGTCTGTTGTTCCATGCAGGCATCACAATCAAGATATTTCTTTGGCAGATGCACCCATTACATATTCTAAAGCGCACATTTGAAGGTCATATGCCCATAAAAATAAATCTGAGTTTGTGACAGGGCGGTGTGAGCTTCCTTTGTTTTTTGTTCAGTTTTTTAGAGGACATCTTCTCAGCAAAGGTAAGAAGGACCAAATTTAAAAAATGCTTCAGTTTCGTCAGGCATTCAGTCAGTGCATGAGCTGCAGACTGATCACAATGACTCATTTTTATTTAAATTACAAGGATGAATATGTAAATGCAATGAGAGAAGGGAGAGGTGGATCGAGTGGGTCTAGTTTGGATGCTATGATTAATTTTGTGTAGGTGACTGGAATGAATGTAAAGTTTGTAGAGTGTTAAAGTTTACGAATCTTCAAGTTATTTTAAGTCCTTCATAAGTACATTTATTATAAGTAGTGTGGTGCTGAAAAGTGCAATCTGACATAAAGCTGAAACTCTTAAATGTTAACAGAAATACCAGCCTCATTACAAAATACCTGAAACATAATTGCAAATGAATTTAAATAACAAATAAATCTAGTTTCTCATTAAATGCATTTTTTTTCTGTATAACATGTACAGCAAGTATTTATAAGTTTAGGGTTAGGTAGGAAACACTTGGTTCAGGGACAACTGAGGCAATAATTGTACATCATTTTTTTAATTGGCCTAAATTAGCCTAAAATATTTTATAGCAACAATAATTTACACTGCAAAACACAAGGACTTTATTTTTAGGCCTGTAAGGGGAAAAAATAGCAATTTTTTGGAGCAGGACTATTTTAATGGGTTAAGTCTTCCTAACATGTTGTAAACATTATCATACACCCTTTCATTTTAAGCTCCCAATTTGTACCACATATGAATATATGATTGTATTTCCAACAAGTTTTGCTTAGGTTTGTGCAGTTTATTTATCTGCTGTTGATCAAAGTTTATTTTTATTGCACATATTTCTGTAAAATATTGTCAAAATTCTACAAAAAAAGAAACAATAGCCAAACAAAAGGCACATAATTTACCACAGAAGTAGAGAAAGTAACGTATGAAGAACAAAATATACATTAAACATGGTTTTATCAGGTTAATATTGAGTCCTAATTCATTATCAATGTTGTTCTCTTTGCACTGATGTGCTTCAGTCATGAGCAGCACATGCAGACTCATAATTAAAAGACATTATTTGACAGATTTAGAAAGAATAAATGTATGTATCAGATTTTGTTTTTTACTGTTAATATGGAATATTCCTGAAAGAGAGGGGCCCCGTGTAGTTTATATAGTTTTTACGGTGAGCATAAACTAAATTAGAGCACACAGGCTTCTTTTAATTTCATACATTGTTTATTAGCAACACATTTGTCCAAATGGACTCATTTTAACAGGAAGTCTTGTATAAAAAAGGAAATTGATAGCATATTAAACTCCGACTGTTTTTATTTCACTGGTAAAATAAAAAAAAAGGGGTGCTGAGAGTTCAATTTGTTTCTAAATCACAAGTAGCTCATCATCACAAGAGGCTTGTGTTCTGTAGAAAACAATAGGAGGAAGCTGAGAGCTCTTCAGTTAAATATCATTGTTGTTTTTGAACCACAACAGAGTTGCTTTGACTGGGATGAAAATGCTAAAGCCCATTCCGATCTGAAATCAGCACCTCGGACAGTTCCACACGTACATTAGGCACAGCAGACTCCAGCTGATGGATTCAAAGTTATACATCTGTCAATTAGCAGCCATGTTTTTTTAAACTCTGAGCTTCTCCAATCACTTTAAACACAAAAAGTTTTTTTTTTTTTTTCCCACAAACATTTGTATAAAACCTTTAAAGACAAAATGAGCTGAGGCTGTTGTCTTGCAACACATCAACTGTTCTCTGTGGTAAAAGTTGCTGTTCATGTTGTTTGCTCTTGTTTGCCTGCAACAAACAGAAGTCGGTGTAATGTTAGAAACATTTTTCTGCAAGTTCACGTAAAAGTATTTTACTGTAGGTTTTACATGTTTTAGCCATCAGGAATCTGCTGCAAATAAGACAAATTATGTTTCATAAAGTCTTCACAAAACTGCACTTTACAAAATATAGGTGTAGAAATGTTTTATATTTGTTTTCCATTCATTCCAGTGTTTGTTTATTTTGCAATTTCATCCTTTAATTTTGGAGGGGGAGTGGTGGCGCAGAGGATGGAGAAGGTGGGCCTGTAATCTGAAGGTCACCGGTTCAACTCCCCGAACTTAAAACATCAAAATGTAGGTGGTAAAGGAGAAACACTCACAACTGCCTCCACCCTCATCTGCCCCACTCTAGGCCCTTGAGCAAGGCCCTTAACACCCATCATCTACTCCTCTGTGCATGGCAGCTCTCTACTCCATACACAGGGCTGTGGTAGCTCAGTGTGGTCTGTGGTTGTGTCACGAAGTGCATAAAAATAATTGCCATGTTTTCATGCAAGTTAGGTTTGCTATGTTGACCTCTAAGGAAGGGAGCAGCCAGAAGAAAAAGAAAAGAAGAAGAAGAAAGAGGAGGACTTTCAAAAACGTTAAAAACATTTGTGCAACAAACTTTCTCTTTAAATAGTCGCAGACGGACATTTTAAAACCATCTCAATTTTGTCGAGGGCATCTCCCACCCTGTGTAAAGAGTAATATGAGATTTAAAACCTACATGGAAGCAAAGCAATCCAGATCTAAACCTATGAACAATGAAAGATATTTATTAAAAAACTGGTCCAAATCTCCAAAGGAGAGAACAAAGCAGGCAGAGACAGAAGTGACCCATTAAATAATTTGCATGACCCAGAATATAGTTTTGCAAGGCATGCGCACAAGAATTAACTTTATTCTCTCTTTTAAAACAATGTTTGTTAAAAATGTAGCCACATGGCTCACTGATCACGTGCACAAGCAATGTGAATTTATTGAGACTGTGAGGGAAAACTTGCTTTTTTCTCACAATATGGAGTCAATTTTAAGTCACCATCTTGTCTTTAACAGTTGCAGCCCAGTGGGTTGATTCCTAATTATTCTTCTTTAAACAGTATCGACGTGTTTTGTTTGCATATCTCCCTCTCCTGCCTTCTAGGTTTCTTTTTTTTTATCCTTTCTTTGATTTCCTGCTACACCTCTGTTTTTCTTTCTACTCTCTCCTCCTGTTCCCCTCTCTCTGTCTGTGACGGCTCATACTCCTCTTCTGCAGTCAGAACTGTCAGCGGTACAAAAATATTCACACATACAAGAAAACTCATTTCAAATTCCACCTGCCATGTTAACTGGAGACAGCAGAGGCCGAGCTGAGAGTTTCCTGGCATCGAATCTGGGCTCCTGTCGGCATTTTTAGATAGAAACTCAAGGGTGGGAGTTTTTTTTTTTAAGGGGCGGTGTCACTGGGAGAGAGCGAGTCTGTCACGAAACAGGATGAGCAAACATTTCATCTGTGGCTTGTGTTTGAAAGCAGCAACTGTTGAGTGAATATTAAAACTCACCAGCTTCACAGAATAAAATAACCTGATCTTTGATGAGCTGCAGTGCCCCCCACCCCCACCCCACCCTTCAACCCTCCTACCCTCCTACCTTCTCCGAAATTTTAATTGCCTCTCGGAAACCTCCAGCAAATTCCTTGTCATCTTCTGCTGGCTGATTTTAATTTGAGGAGAAACAGCTTCCACTATCTTATCGAAGTTAACGTTACTCCCATGTGACTTGCTCTGAGAGGCACCATGGCCCCCCTCCCCCCCACATCCTCTCTGCTTGTGTCTTAAGAGGATTAGACGACTCTATATAGAAAGCACATTATCTTGTCTTTTGTTGCTTGCCAAGTAAGTGTCATAGATTATATTACAGCGGGAGCCTCCATTGAGATTAGGCTTGCTGGGAATTTGTTTTGATTTTCTGCAACTCGCCATCAGGTTGGCTGGGATGCGATCTGTGATGTCACAGGGCAGCAGGAAGAGCGGCCTTCAGGAAATGGATGTTAAATCTCCCTAATGTGGTCAGCTGAGAAGAACGAGGCGTTCAGTTGCAGAGAAGGTGGACTCATGTAACAGAATGATGTCAGCTTTTAACTAAAAATACAGAGGCGTCCTCGGTAATTTGAGATGGATGCTGCAGATTGGTGGGGATGAATAAATTCACCACAGCCAATCACTTTGAAAAGCAACAATTTAAAAACTGATCATCTAAATCATTTAAGAATAAAATCAACAGAATGTATTAAATATATTGAAAAAAAATCAAATTGCCCATTTTATGTCAAAGTTTGACCAAGATCATCTTATGTAGAAAAAAATGATGATGCATTATTCTGAGATGTCCTCTTCAAAGTATGTGTTGGAAATGACTCTCAGCTACTACCACATCAAGTTTTTGCTCAGTATTTGAAAAACCATTGTAGGCATTTTTGTGTTCTCTATGGTCATTTAGCTGTGGCAGCCATAATGAATCGGTTGATGTGATTACTTTTTCCGATTATTACTCTGAAAGTTTCAGGAAGTGTCGTCCGGTGATTCATCAGATAGTTTATTAACAAATACACAAAGACATGGAGAAAACCATCATCGCTTCACCCTTGTCTTGTAGTGGTGGGTGATAAGTATTTGATGAATGCTTGAGGCTACTTTCTGCTGCCTGTCAAACCCTTCTCCCTGCTGAGTACCAGTGTCCCGCAGTGATATCTTCCACCCACTTCCCCTTTCGTCCCCCAGTCTCAGTTGATCCAAAATGGCTGGTGCATTCTGTCACCTCCCATGTGGTTGGCTTTGATGCTGCTCCTTCCTACAGGTGCGTCAGAGCTACAATGGCGGCTCGGGCAGTCTTATTGCAAAGCGAGTTTTATTGAGCACCTTTGGCAGCTGTAAACCCCCCGCGGTAAAGGGATTATTCAGTGTTTGGCCGACACATGGTGATCTCAGCACCTCCTGATTGGATTGCAATAATCCCTTTACAAAACCCTATTACTCTGGCATTAGAGGCGAAGAGAGTAGGTGGGGGGTAGAGGTCGATGGGGGGCACCCAATTCGGGCACTGCATGTTTTTTGTTTTTGTAGGATGTATGCATTTTTCAGTGTTAGTAGCATTATTTAGTCTGTATTTTGACGCATATTTGTGTTTGTCTTTTGTGTGGGTGCACATATTTTTATTATTATTTTTGACCTTCTGAAATCCTTGTTGCGGTTTGTGCTTCAGATATGTGCCTAAACGGTTGCGTTATGTGTATCTTTTGATGGATCGGACCTCCTGCTGTTGATAAATGGCTGTGTGCAGGTGGAGGGTTGCACCAACTGACCTCCTGTTACATCATTGCTGCTTTTAGCTACTCTCAGACAAATGTAATGGAGAGCTGGTACTACAGGAAGAAAAGGCTAGTGTTACTCTCTGTCTGCGTGGTATTTCAACAATGTGTAATGCAGCTGAAATGAGGTGAAACCTGCACATGAAAAATGATCACTATGAGCTGCATCTAAGCTGTTGGTCATGCTTGTGATAAAGTCATCCATAAGCATTATATCATGCAGTTTTCTTTCATCTTCCAGCAGCTAAATGTCTTTCCATCCTGCCCTCCTTTTTTCAACAAAGTTCTTTCATTTTAGCAGAAAGCCATTAGGCCTTTTTTTGGAAGCTAATTCTGATTAAGATAAGCCCCCACATTTGTAACTGTCACCATAAATCATGGCTGGAGCCATTTAAAGAAGCACACAACCTCGTTTCAGTCCCTCATCTATTACAGACCATCGTTCATACTTTGTATGCATGGGCTAAAAACAAGGCTACCCTTCTTCACCGTCTGATGTGAACACCAATGTCTTTTCCACTCACGATGCCTCATGCCAAGTTAATTCAAAGGCAATTGCTCAAAGTCACCTTGCCTTCTTTAATTATGAAAACTGGCTGAATGTAGGTAATGGGGAGGAGGAAACTGGTTGCCATTACAAGGAGCGAGGGTCGATTAGACAGGCACAGTATGATTAAAGCGACACTGGTGCATCTAATAAACTGAAGAAATTATGCATGTAGGCATTTAGATATGGGGTTAATGGTGTGTCCAAATGATTTGTTACTTTTGTTTAAATCTTCTCAGAGAAGCTAATACGAAAAGAGTTGATAACATAAAAAGAAAACCGGAGTTTAAATGAGAGACTCATATAATTGGCCAGATTCAGGTCTCCTTGTAATGAGTGTCAGAATTATTCCAGATTACTTTGTAATATCTTGGTTTCTTCAGTTTATTGCCAATTGACAATTTAAACCAAAACAAACAACAGCAAAACTACAGCTAGTGTTGTGTTACTTTTTTGTTTGTTTGTTTAGTCTCTCCATTTTAAACATGAGCTTTAAAATCTAATTGCCAATCACAGAAAGACAGAACTTTGATTGATCTTTCCCACACTGACAGTATATTTGCTTCCTTCAAATGGCCAAATAAAACACCTCCTTAGAGGCCTTTCTAGTTATTGAGTCAAAATGAAAATGTTCAAAATTTACTAGTTTCAAAATGACAAGTCATATCCTGTAATTTGGGTAAATATAGATAGATTGATGTATACTTTATTGTCCCCAAGGGGAAATTTGTCTTGGACGTTGTGCGCTAACAAAGCTTCTTCCACAATTAAATACACTACAACCAATAAAATCATGTGAACCCCATAATAAAATACAAAAATATAAAACACCTATTAATAAAAACACATAATTCAATAAAATGGACAAGTTTGAACAAAGAACGACAAAGTCTCATATTACTGTACTGTATATAAATTTTTCTTGATGAGATGTTTCTCCTTGTTTCTTTCAGTCTTACATGGAGGATCACCTGAAGAATAAGGACCGCCTGGAGAAGGAGTGGGAGGCGCTGTGTACGTACCAGGCTGAACCCAATGCCAGCACTGTTGGCCTAAAAACTGGCAACACAAAGAAGAACCGCTCAGCCGCTGTGGTGGCATGTAAGTGACGGACTGAACTCTGTGCTGGGTTTGTTATTTTAGATGTTTTATCAAACTGCTTATGCTGAAAGTGGTAGAATGAATCTCTTTCTTGACAGCTTTGAACAGAATTGGCTTTGTCTCTATCATTCACCTTGAAATACCTCCACACTGCTTCTTCTTCTTCTTCTAGTGGCTATTAATGATTAGCAAACAGCTTTATGATGCAGTACTGCCACGTACTCGGACAACGTTTGAATCAGGGCATATAAAATAAAATACAAACTACTTTCACACAGCGGACAGAGCCCTCCCCCCCCACCCCCCATCACCCAACTATTCAACTGAGAGCTGAACTTCACTCTTCCATTAACGTGGAATCTGTACTGTGATAGTGAAGCAGTTGTTTAAGTATGAGTGCACACACACTGTTTTAGATTAAAACCCAATGCTGCTGCCACTATCCGTGCATTCCTATTAATAATCTGCTGATTTTAGTAGAAAAGCTCCAACTTTGCTCATCCGCTGCTGGTATATGTTTTATTGGTTGCAGCCTGACTTTTCTATGGCTCATCTCCTGAATGTTTATGTCCCGTTCACCTTTAAAAGTTATGATTTTAAAAGTTGTTTCCTTTCATTGAGCATATTTTAGTGATAAGCAGTCACATTGGGGTTCATACCACAATTTAAATCTGAGTCTTAATTGCTTGAATTTTTTAAATTCTGTGTTCTGTGTTCAACTAGCATTTCTTTTCAAGCTAATGTATGTGTAACTAATGTAAACATCAGATATTTAGTAAAAATAAAAGTCCAAATTATCAGAGATAAACATGACAGGCAGCAGATCTGTACTCTTCAGTATTAAAGAAGAGAAAATCCTAAAATTGGACTAAAACCCAAACTCCACTTGCTGATACGTTTCCTCCAATTATGTTGATGTCATTCCCGTCACCTCCTAAGAGCTCCGCACAAATATTCCCAACTCAGCCTGAATTATCAGAAACTAGGCGCAGATGCAGCGAGCAGAAGGGTGTAAATTAGTTTTCTATAAAAGCTCTCCTGCATGGAACTCAATGATTAAAATTTTGGTGGAAATAGCCCGTCTAAAAAAAGTGCCGTCCCATTCTCTTCAGCACTCCGGGGCTTAATGAAATCCAGATTGTGAACGGAAAGGCGGTTTGTCGGGAATAAATTGAGATTCCTGTTTCAAGCACCTTTAGTGTCTGTGGGGGGTAATTCTGAACTGTTTGAGAGTAAAACTTAGGAAGGTTTTCTAAAATGGACCAGAGATGATTAGCAGGTTATTTTTAACTGATAGGAAGCTCTTTAATATCTATCACATGCATGAGTTGACACATGCATAAACTTTTAGTTTTAATCTAGATCCATCGGTTTATCTGATCAATGTAACTTGATCCCATTCATTATTAGATGAAAAGTCTCCAAGCAGATTTGTTTCTACAAACATCTATGATAAAAATAAGCAGACACGTTTAAAATTAGTTGCATTTTTGTTTGAATAATGGATTTCCTGTGGATTCTTCTTCTGCTGGCATTCCAGCAGTTTATTGCTATTTTCTCATTAGTGACCCCTACTGTTTATAAAGGAAACGTCAGCTGCATGAGCATAAACAGCAACAAACACTAAATGTGTGCTTCACCCCTAATCATGTGGATCAACTCATGTTTCGGAAATAAAATAAAAGAAAATAGTTTTAATATTTAAATAATGAAAAATAGATTTTGCTGCTGGCAAGTTTATTATTTTTTGCACCTGTCATTTTTATGTGTTAGTGAATTGTGACTCAGGTTTTATGAATTCAATTTGCAATTTTAAGACTATACTTGTTTGTTAGCAGTCATATTTTTAAACTGAGTAATAAAAAAATCTGAATATTGGGCAAATGCATTTATTTGTCATATTATATTGCATTGATTCTCAATGCCTTGACTCAAACTCATTAAATCACACTATATTGTAATTAAGCCCGTATGAGTTTTTGCCACTCGTGTATCCTTAATGTATCAGATCATTGGCACATTTTAGCATATAAATAAAGGTCCACAAACGATGCACAACCCTTAGACATTTCGTAATGTTCTCAGATTGTTGCTTTGGTTCTGTACATTTTGTGAGTGAGTTACAACTTGTTCAATGGATGACAAAGAGATTTAGGATTTAACCAAATAAATCTTGAGGAAAATTGAAAAGCATGCTTTTTTAAAATAATCCAGCTTCTTTTTGACACATCATAGGAGAAGAGCATCTTCATATCATCAAAGTATAACAACGTAAAGTGAACTGTTTTGCTCAGCAGATGTGTAAAATAAAAGCCCTGACTTCAGTGCATCTGGCGTGACCAGTGAAAACTCTCTTCACTTGGACAAAATGTGCTGAATTGTTCATTTTTTTGTTCCAGATGATCACTCCAGAATCACCTTGAAGGTGGAGAACAGCCAAGGCAACTCCGATTACATCAACGCCAGCCCGATTGTGAGTACCTCCTCTGCTTTCTAACTCTGCGTTTCACACCGCCGCTCCACCGGGTTCCCACAGCCCCCATGGGGCGTCACAGAAACAAAGGCAGCCTACCATTGTCCAATATAAATTTTGATGCAACGCTTGCTTTGCTTTGGCGGCAGCCTCACAGTATGCATATGTTCCCCAGCACGAATATTAATGATCGCTATACAGCAAACACCCCAGGCGAGAATTTGCTCAGGGAAGCTTTGAGAAAGGACATGCACATGACTTGCTTTTCATTTGTGAAACTAAAATTGATCTGTGGGGTCTTGGGAAATGATTGTTTCTGACCTTGGGTTATGCTAATTTGACACTACTTTGTGTTTACTGTTACGATGCGATTGGCATGCTGTGGCTATCTCCTGGCACGGTGCAGATTTTAAAAGCCTGCAGGGGGGGAAAGAGGAAGGAAAGAGTCGTGCGAATGCAGTAAGTGAGTGAATCAATTTGAAAACCAGTGTTGGAATTGTAGGTTTATATTCCCCTTGAGGCGGATACACTGGTATTCCATTAAAAGCAACAGAAACGCAATGCATTTCAAATCTTATCGTCGCACAAAAATGTGGCCGATTGTGTCTGTGTGTGTGTGTGTTTGTGTATGAATACATGAGTTTGTTTCTGTTATATTTGGGGACTTAAACCTGCTTACATACCAGTCATTTGGGGACACTTTGGAACTGGGGACCTGTGTGTGTGTGGGTGTTGGTAATGTGTGTGTGTCTGAGAGAGAATCAAGTAGGAATCAAACTATTTAGAAAAATAAGAGTGCAACTGTCAAATGAACAAACAGGTGAATGCAACTACAAATTCAACAAATGCACTCACACGCACCTGCACAAAAAGCCAAATAGAAGAATTATACACTCATTAAAAAAATATACACATTGAAGCACACAGAGAAATGGCTTGGAGTGCAAACACCCACACAGTCATGCTAAAGCACACGCTGAAACATGACACACAATCACTGTCGAGCGTACATTTCCACCTCCCACACACTCTAATAATACAGAATGGATGTATGTGGATGTATGCTTCATGCTGTGTTTATTTAAAGAAATTTCCACCAACCATGTTCGCCCACGCTGCAACCAAACGTCAGCGATGACAAAATGTTTGGGACCTTCTTCCAGCAGCTTGTCAGGAGCCTTAAAAAATATTATTCATTCATGTAACTGTCTGTGTCTGTGTCCCAATGTTTGTTACCAAACTTTCCCATGAACCATTTGATTTATTTAAATAAAACTCTCAAACTTATCATTGGATGTTCATTCATACCAGATTAATTTTTGAGTCAACTGGATTCAAAGCTGATTGACCTTAGCAAACTGAAAAATGACTCTAACATGATCCTTAGATGAGACTTGATGTGGTAGTCAGTGAGGGTCCTCCCTAACTCATTCTATGAGTGCTTGAGAGAAATCTCTGATTTCAACTTTGGCGCACAAGGCCACGAATGATATTCAGTTTTTCAAAGAATCTGCCTTTAATTTATTTAATTTATTGATTGTGATGCTAAATACAATAAAATGTCCTTTTTTTAAGACATTTTTTTAAAAGAAGTGAGTCCAGACATTATGAAGTTTTAAATTTACAATGAAGCTTTAATTGTAATTTTATTAAAACTGTTATTTACTCTTTATAGATGAACGAGACTTGCATGTTTTCAGTAGATTGTAATTTACTCATTAAAAGTCCCACACGTACATAATCGGAGTCAGTTCCTCTAAGTTTCAAACATAATTAATCGCTCACATTCTCCTTTAACAAGAACACACTGTCAGTCCAAAACATGCTTGACTGTTTCCTCACAGACTCAGTCACACACAAACTTACACATTGAGAGACTCCATCAATTCATCATGTAACAAATGTAATTACACAATTCTGATAACACACAACCCTGAGCCTAAATCAGCCACCCAGCCTTTATTAACACATTCAATGACTTCTCTTGATTAAAATTTAATGAAGTCATCACAATTGTGTTTTTCCTTGTTCAATTTTATATTTTAAAGTTAATTTTTATGTTTCCTTCTTGTATATAGTCTGTTTTTTTTCTTTCTTTCCAGTTGTTTCTCTTGCATCCCTGTGTTTTCCTGTAACTCTTGGCCTGCTTCCCCCAGTTCTGTCCCACATAGCTGTTCCTCCAGTCCATTTCATCTCCCAGTCTTTATCTTACCTGCAGCCTGACATTGTAGCATCCATGCCCAGTCTGGTTCTACTTTGCATCTCCTCTAATTCTGGTTCTTCTTGCTGCCATATCAGCATTATATATATATATATATATATATATATATATATATATATATATATAT